CAGGTTGGAATTGCACCCTGTGGGACCAGTATTGCTGAGCTGTATTTGAGCTGCTGGTTCTAGTTCCAAAATAAGTTGCGTATGCATTTAAACAAAGTACACAAGTCACTGAATGCACTTATATGGGGATAAAAGGTAGATAAACTTACATAGTCGTTCCGAGGAATGGCTTACACCTTTCCCTTTTAAATCATCTCTGAACTAGCTTTTCCAAATTGCCTGGATATTTAAAAGACAAAACATAATTAAAGTGGTTATTACACTATTGAAGGTTTAAATCTTGTTCTTTTGTCATAGTGAAATGAGAGAAGAGATCGATAATTCCTACTCTTACTGCAATCATGCAGCAGCAATTTAGGTATAGTCTTCTAAGGTCCCTACAGTTCTGCAGAACTGTTGCATAAACACAGTGCAACAGTGCAGGCTCTTGTTCTGCAAACAACTGAAGTATTCTGTATCTGCAGTAGCTCACACACTCTATTCATGAAGAGACATTACACAACTGATATTCAAAAACTTTTCACAAAATACCAGTAAATCTACCTCTGTCTGTTGTCGCTGGACAGTAAAAGGAGACAAGTGTAACTGCCAGCCACTTTGAAAAAGAGACACCAAAATCAGTACCTTTCATCTTAAGCCTTGTTACCCAAAGTGAGCTCTTCTCCTTAGCTATCGCACATGACGGGTAGCCTCCCGGTGTTCCATGAAACTGTTTTCATAAACAATTAAGGATGATCAACAGGTCACCTCCCTAAGAGAAGCTACTTTTCCCTGTTTTGACTTTTTACAAATTCCTCCCAGGAAAATTCTTACACTTCTTGCTCCTTTTGGCTTAAGACATACAAACCTTTCTTTAACTTCTTAAACGCTATTAAGCGACAAATGTAGACAGATAAAGGGAGGAGAAGCAGGGAAAGTAAATCTTAGATGCTTTTTGTTGCTGCATGTTTGACATCTGGAGAAGGCAAGAATTTAGGGTGCAAATGAGGTGGCTAGTATATTCCCTGTACTGAATATTTCTACTGAAACAAATACAACTAAGACATTCGCTTAAACTTCACACACTGTCTCCAGGACTTTTTTTTCTTAGCGCAGAGTTGTCAAGACAACCCACTGCTACCCAGGCCTTCCAAAGCACCCTGAGGATGAAGATCAAAGATTCCTCCACTGTCCTGCTATAAATATAGGAAGACATTCCGTCAGGAAGCAGTAAAGACAAAAGTCTTTTTATTTCCTCATCTCACGTGCTGGCATGCAGGAAAGTATTTCACTTCTCTTCAAACAGACTGGAATTAGTACTGGGAAAACAGGTACGGAAAAGTAAACCTAGTTTTGAACAATTTTGTGCAACTGTAGTATATACAATATAAAGCTCTATCGGTATCCAATTGGTATAGGCTTACATAAAGCAATTCTGATTTTACATTCTAACCCAGCAAATCAGACAGTAAGACACTTCAGTACAAGGAAGTGAGAGACATGTTTACTGGAGAAACTAGAACCCCGGCAGCCAAGTCTTTTGACTGCATTCCCCACGTAGTCTTGTTGCACAGGTACTGTCTTCTCTCCCCTGCTTTTATCTATCTTTTATTTGGTGCTTTAACCTCTTTTCAGTTAAGCAAGCAACAGGAAGCTTCTCCACTTTAATCTCTGAAGTTATGCCTATGTAAGAATTAAAAGAATACTGCCTCAAGTTGAGCACAAAAACGCCCTGTGATTATGAAACTTGCAATAAACCAAGATTTCTTCTTTTAAAACAAAGAAAGGATACGGTATTCAAGCATTTCTGAGTTCTGTGCATCTCAAAGATGTATTTACATCTATTTTTCGTAATAAATTTAGCAGATCTCAGACCTAGTCCAGAGAAAGGCATATGAAATGGATTCAACCATGGGCACCATAAGCATCACCAAAAAATCCTCCACCTGCAATACTTAAATGTCCCAAAGTCCTGATTTTGGACAAAAACTGCTAAAGCCGCCTGTGAAGAAACAGACAGGTACTTGAATTTTTACTTCTGAATTACACTGACAATAGGTGATTAAGATAACTTTACATGACTTTATTTAACAAAACCATGTACTTACAGTTGAAAAAAGTTCCGGTTTGATAAACATATCTAAACAGAACAAACTTGGTAACTACATAAAACCGATTTAAACATGAGGTACAGGGGATGTAGCAACAGTTCTCTATATGTCAACCTACTTTTTAAAACATTCAAAAATAAGCTGTGACAAGGTACCTTTTTTTCCAAATGAAATTGTTTACTAAATGAAAGAATGTTAATGACTGATTGCTGATCGAAGTTGCAAAACAGCTTTATTATAAAGTGCAGGTCGTACAGAATTCCAAACCTGGTTGAAGTTTTCTGGTTTCTCTAATCTGCTGCATGTACAGTGGTAGTTGCAGACTTCTGATGTATTGCAGCATTTTTATTTTTCCTTAAACCCACGAAGAAAAGGAAGCTTGCTGGATAGGGACACTTGCTTAATGAAAGAAAATCTCGCACATCATGTTACAGATACTCTCAAGCACCTGAACAATAAAATGGTCAATTTTTTTTTATGCAATCCCTGAATTTATTACAGAAATCTTCCTTAATAGCTAATTAAGAGATTTGGTATGCTGCAAGAAACTTAAAAAGCTCAGTGGCAAGTAATTCTATGCCCGTACTACTCATCTGTTTTTAGCAAAATTCAGGCATTACCTTCAAATCAAGTTACTGAGAAGTTGAAACAATTGCATCTTTAGGCAGGTGATTTTTTTTAAAATGTATTTTGTTTGAAAACAAACTGTGCAAAGCTCCTTATTGCATTGCTTTTCATTAAAGAACACACCTTATATACACAAAGAGATCAGTTAGAAAATATATACATCTTCTAAGAACAGAAAGATCAAATCACAGAACAAAATAATTACATTTGCAAGTAACAAACAGTGCACGTGTGTTGCAGCAGGCCTTTTTCCCACAACTGTGCCCATTTTCACTGTTACATTCAACATCTTATTCAGAAGAGAAAAAGGAGAACAGGCTGTCGATGGCTGCAAATATACCTAGTGGCTAAAGAATGCATTTTAACCAGACAAATGAGCCACACTTGTAGACTTGGTTTAAAAGGAAATACAAATCTAGTTGCAATGAAGACTTAAATCACAAAGCCAGTTACAGTACCACCTAAAAATGAATACCGAGGAAAAAGTCGTCTCTGTGTTTAATAAACCGTTTCAAAGCATAGTGCAAATGTTTCAGATGGTAGGCCTCTCATATCCTTCACGGAAAGGCATATTTGTTGTAGTAATAGAAAAAGTAATATTAAAAAAAATACTTACTGACCTTCCAGCTTTCTATTGCACTTCAAAGCAACGTAGCATGCAAGTACTGGTCACTGAAGGACCAAAGCAATGCAAATTCTGGGAGAATTAACATGTGTTTCATATCAACATCTTGATGTCCGTTTTCAGCAAGTGATGACCTAGAAGTCTTATGGAGGAATTAAGGTGGCCAACAAAAAACCACATCCATTACGCCAGGTACACAAAGTGGACAGGAAGAGAGGCCAATGAGGTATCAGACTTGCAAGCTGCATTTGCATTACACATCTTCCAAAGTGATGATGAGTCCTCACTTACTAGGGAACCTTGCTCTCTTTTTAATATTACAATCAAACTATCCCTTGCAGAAACAATGTTCGTACTAAAGGACAGTATTTTGATTATGTCCCACAGTCCTTTACATTGTATGTTGAGTTGAGCAGTGTGCAACTATTATTCTCATTTTTTTATTCAGACAACACCAAAATAATCAGTATAAAACAGACTGAAGAGCATTGGGAAACTGCTGACCATATAGCCAGAGGATTTAGTAACGCCTGTTTACAGTTAACACAAATATTGCTTCAGGTAGTTTCCCTTTTCAATGATCGTCATTATTTATAAAATAGATTTTACACTATACAATAAACACTCTTGTAAATCAGAGGCACTCATGATTTACAGTTCAACATTCATCTGAATGCAGAGGGGATCTGAGCTGTGTAACAGAATTACGCAACCACAGTTTACCGGCTCTGTAACTTGCTCCCATGCATGAGAGGCTGGATAAAACGCTAGGAAATGACAGCTTGTACTTATCCCGGTAGTATTTGTCTGGCACACTCCCCAACTTCTTTCACTTGTCACTACATACAGATCAGCTCCACATAACGCTTTCCCACTGTGGCAGCAGCAGTTTCAGGAGATC